GAGATTAAATTGTAACCATTTTGCTATCTGCGTACTGCAAGCAGTTGTAATGATTCCGAAGTCAATTGAGCGTCTTGTCTCATTCATGACGAAAACATATTCGCATGTTCAAATTGTAAGAGAACTTCATAAGATCTATGTTCCGCCTCACAAAGAGATTAAACAAGCATCCTGTCTGTCTCGAGATTTCTTCGTATCTGCGAGCATTGGTAGACTATATCCCCGTTACGCCTCCATTACCGAGGCTTCGTAACATTTTACTGGCATTTACTAAATTAAGGGGAGGGAGAAAACACAAAAGAGAAAGGAGAATGGGGGAGAATGTTAACGGGGATGGTCGCTGAGAATGGCGTCGTCAGAAGCGGCTGGGACCGAATCAAGAAATAATACTCCGCTGAGATAATGATGCGACGTTTCACTCCCGCAATTTCTGCCGGGTATAGGATCGGCCCTTTAGCTTATGCCTCTGTCGAGTCACATTGAGAAAATAGTAACTCAATACTCGTACGAACAGCGAAGAGACGATCGATTTAACGGATTATTACTGCTACCTAGGAAACGGCGAGGAACTTTTCGTGGAACTTTTAAGTACGGCTATAAGATATGTGAGAGATTTAAATCGAGATAGAAATTGGGAAATATTAATTTAGATTCGCACAGCATTAAGTCATTGTTTATGATACGCGTAAAATTTACAATATACAATTTCGAGTGAAATATCTAAGGTTGTTACGTTCAAACGATGAAATAACAAATTCATTAATTCTGATCTCTATTGACACGGCGTTTTTCATTTCCTCGGCAACCATAATTGCCGAGATCGTCAGTTTCGATTTGTATTATATGTTTGCTTTTCTTGCCGTTTTCTTCCGCAACTCAAAGGCTCCGAGTAAATTGCCTTTCTGCAAAGTGAAACATTTAGAGCGAGAGGATTCTGATCATCTTCTATAAAGCAAGGCAGACAAGTAAATAAGCCCGCGGTTTTCATGAACAATAATAACAAAAGTAGTAAATGAACATACAGAAATGTGCATACAATCGTGAATTAAAACAGTTGAATATCATAAAATAAAAATGTTTTAAATATTCTCTCTCTCTCTCTCTCTCTCTCTCTCTCTCTCTCTCCTCTATAAATAAGCGGGGCGCCGCGAGTCATTCCATCATCTATGCAACGATAATTATTATCCCGAAAGCTGATATCACGTGTAACGGGTAATCCCTCAAAGTTCAGATTATCCGATTACTCGATGACATCGGAAAATTCAATCAAACGGCACGATCCCCGCGCTTCGCACATGTTGTAGAATTTTAATCACAGCAATCGTAAAAATCTGCAGCGTGGCACGTACATATGTATGTAACACGGGCTTGGCGCACTGACGTAATACCTCTGTCCTCGGGCTTTGACGAGAAAACGTCGCAACTTTTCCCGGGGATTTTCATGGCGTGACATTTTATTACGAAGCTCGGAAAAAGTTCTACTTACATAGCTCCGACGTATAGGGCATCCCTCTTACTGTCCAGGTAGAGCGTTCTGTAGTACAGCATGCCGCAGCTGAATTCTCGCACGTGTTCTGAAAGCAAAAGTAAATAAGGGGATTAAATGTGCGACGTCGTAGCACTGGCGAAATTCATTTTCCGTGCTGCGGAAACGCGGCGAATCCGCTACCATCGCATCGCCGTCGTCGCGACCGCGCCGCGCCGCGCTGCGCGCTCAGTGGATCGTTAGATTTTCATTACGACTTTTATAATAACGGCCGGATAGAGTAAGGTGCCGCCCTACCGCCCTGCCGACCTCGCCGGTAATCCGGCTAAAGTCAACTCTGACTTATCTCTACCGTAAACTCGTCGGAATTACACGGCACGTAACGCGCGCGCTCGACATTTTCGTTCCATCGGCCAGCGCGGATTCGCTGAAATCCGCACCGCGGAAACATCGAAGATCAACTCGCGCGAGGAGCCGCATGTTAATATTAGCGAATAAAGCGCTCAAGAAAAGAACTTTTGCAATTGTCTTCGTTGATGTGACTTCTCGTGCTTTAGAACAAATTCCGGAGCACAGAAAATGTTTAACTCTTCTTGAATTTCGCAAAGCTTTGTGAAAATTTAAGAAACGATTCGTTCCTTTAAGATTTTAGTAAAAAAAAAAAAAAAAAAAAAAAAAAGGAAAGAAAAAGAAAAGAAGAATATATCTTTTCACATTTTTTATAACTTCTGAATTATTTAAGAATATCAAGTCAATTCGGTTGTCACATTTGCACGTTGACCTAAATATGCGTAAAATTCACGGGCCAGCCGTTACCACGTTAACGAGAAAGAACAGTCGACGGGTCTTGCCAACTCCTTCTTCTCCTTTTTTTTATCTCATCGACACTGATCTGCTTAACATATGAAAGAAAGCAGCCCCTTTCTAAATATACTCGTTCCACTCTGGGCTAACAGAGCGCGAACAATACTATATTTTATACGGTATCAGGAGGGGTCGACGTGGAATGAAAGGGGTTCTTACTCTGGAACAGAGCTACTCTTCCTACATATCTATCCCTTGTTCTTTCCCCCCTCCCCTCTCCCCACTCTCCTCTTTTCCTGACCTCTCTCTTTCTTCTATATCTTCATGCGATATCTTCATGCGCTAACCAACCCACCGCATGTTCTCTTTCCTCTCACGAACCCCCGCGACGTTGGGGATGCAGAAACTTGCGATCTTGTTTTATCTCCGCGGAACGACGTTACGTTACGGTCCCTCTAATGTCGGACTTATTCAAAAACGATGTGCCACCCATAGGTCGTTAGATCGGCTCAGATAGACCATGACTAGACTGTGCCCCCCTCCCCCCCCCTCCTAAGGGATTTCCAAATTTATATTCACTCGCGAGCACAGCACATTCGCGTTTCCCATTTTTCGTCGATTTCATCTGAATATATTCGCGCTCGTTTCCTTCAAATATATAGGTATTCCCGCGAGAGTTATTTCGATCTTATCATCGTAATGAAGTTGTATCGTCCACCGCGTACAGCATCCGCACCTGCTGCTCGTTGTATCCGAGTTAATATAACTGTTGCATCCTGACGGCAGCTTCTATTTCTGACCTGCGGATAAAATCGGCCGCGTCGCGACTCGCACGATTGTTAATGGGATAAACATCGTCGCGCGGCATAGGTTCTATTTATGCAGAGCCAGACTCGCCCCTTTAATACAATGTTATTTATTAAGCGTACAGAATATAAAGAGAAATATGTTCTGAATCTGCAGTAATAATGTGTCGTACTCATTTTACGTTCATTCAGCAAAATTATTCCTGTAAGACACACACACACACACACACACACACACACACACACACACACACACACACACACACAC